CGCCACCCATCTACCACTTTGCCTTCAGGGGGAGACCCTTTCATCAAGAGTGACGTCACTGCAGCATGCAGGGACAGCACCAAATACCCAGCAACGTCTAGTGCACATCGGTAAAACTTGTGTTACTGTAAACCACAAATTAAAAGGTTTTTAACCATCATACTACTCAAATCCTGGTAAATAATTTAACAAAGATGACCCTAGAGACATCATTAACAGACAAAAAGTTCTAAGACTACCGATCTTGAAAGTTACTTAGAATTTGTGCATGAACCTCCCAAAACTTGCACGCAATTATTAATCAAACTGGTGGATTTTTGGTGAGCTGTCAGTAGATACTACGTTTTTGTGCAGACCACCTATGCCCATCCACAGGAAATCCCAAAACACAACTCGGACAGTTTTTTTGCTAGCACAAAACAAGTAGGAAATGTGACTTCAATGCACAGCACTTCCTGAGCAATAAAAAAAACTTGCATCTACACATTTTAAACAGATGCATGATTTGCTTCTGAGAACACACAGTCTTGCAAACTAACAGACTCAGGCCACAGAGTGGTTGTGGCCAGATCTGTACTGAGCCTGTGGAGAACAGTTAGTGATAGCCAGATGGCGTCACTGAAAGACAAAGAAGATGCGACTCCAACACAAATGTCATCAAAGGGACTTACACTTTTCACAAGATGAAGAAATAATATGCAAGATTTAGCAGTTTAGTTTCACACTTGATTGCAGACTGACCGACATTTCGTTCTGAAAATAAACTGCATGAAACAGATGACACACTTCTGTGCTAAAATAGTTTTAAACAGTCCCACAACTCACCAAATGAGGGCACATATAATACAACAGAGAAGATTTACATCTCTGTTGCAAAAAACAAACAAAAAAACAATTTAAATACATGAAATAGTCAAAAAGAACTAAAGCTGAGTATGTTTCACATGAACCATACATGATACTGAATTATTAGATCTAATGCCACTGAAATTTTTTAATAAATCCTAAAGGGTCCTTCACAATTTGCCCCACAAAGTTGTGCATTTTCAATGAAAGTTGGCAACTACCAATGGGAGGTCCACCTGAGATGATCCACTTCCTAAAACAATTGATTACAGCAGGTAAGCAGCACCACTACTAGTACAATGACTTGGTGACCTCCAGACTAAATCGCTGTCAATATGAATGCCTGACATCTTTACAAGAAGAGAGTGTGGGTAACACCCATTGGTCAAGTAATTATGTAACACATGGTTGTTGGACATCTGCTAGTGTCCAGGTCTGCATCTGTTCCCCTCACTAAATCAAACAAAAACCTAAGGATTTTCTTTTGTTCCCCCATTGAGACAGATAAAAGACATGTCATTTTGGAAACTGCTTGTCTTCTCCAATATCCATAAACACACAGTCTACACAGTTTATTCTGAGTGCTTGATGTAACCCTACTCCTAATGCAATTCGGCCTGCCTCTCACATGCAGGCTTATTGTTCAAGCAGAGAGAGGGAGGAACACATTGCCTGGACTTTCCATCACTTTTGTTCCTCAGCCTTTTGATGGATGCCCTCTGTCTACACAAAAGTGTTTAGTGGAGTTGCGGCATTACGGGATTGTAGCATGCAGAGTCAGATTCACTTTCACAAACCCTCCCTCGGACTGAGGAATCTTGCTCACTAATCACATGCATGTGAAGGGAACACACTTGCTAAATATAGGAACAGCCACAATAGCACAAACACACAGCGATCTTTCCAATGGCCAGAGAAGACAAGCCACTAACCAGAGATTCTCAGCTGCCAACCGCACATAGAGACAGCCTGTTCATCCACAGGAATTCTGTGAGATTTACTGACAGGAATCTAAACGATAATTGCCATTTAGCACCATCTCTCTGTGTTTCGCTTTGAGTGCCGGGAAAACAGGTCACCTAGTAATTCAAGTGTGTCCGGAGGTAGCAAACAAAGTCCTGCTCAACTGTTTTTGTGGCACTGATTGGGATATTTTCAATGAGGTTAAGTTTAATGAAGATTAAATGGAGGAATATGTATCAGTCATTGCTTACATCAACAAGTGCGTTGATCACCACACCACCCAATATAAGACCTTGGATAAACGCTGAGATCCAATGTGTGACCGAATGACCGCTTCTCCTTATATCAGGGGTGCCCAATCCTGCTCCTGGAGGGTTCATTTCTTACAAAGTTACTGGAAACCTTTGAGCAGGGGCTGCTGGAGAAAGTTGTCCAACAGAGATTAGCTCAAACCTAGTCAAACACACCAGCCTGTAACTTTCAGGTAACCCTGAAGACTTTGGTTAGATTTTTCATGCGTGTTAGATTGAAGCTAAACTGGACGATGGACAGGTGTACTCTACAGAAAAGTGGCTCTCCAGGATTAGGACTTTACAATCAGTATGGGCTGTGTTTGCTCTCTCTGGGAACATTTTGATAACCTCAGGGGATTGGTCTCTGGTCCCTGGGTATGCAAAGTGTATCCTTGTAGGTCCAGGAAGTGAGCAGGTAGGGAATCCCGTGCCACCACCCGGATGCTGCAGCCAGGGACTCAGGTTGCCAGGCCACCATGTCCCTCATTCTGAGCCAGCCCTTGGGATGTCAAGCCACTCTCTGAGGCCTGACACCATTTTCACTGTATCCGTCTTCTCTCATCCTACCACAACAGGCTTTTGATGGCCACAGCTCTTCAGCTGAACCTACATCTCCACAGGTATTAAAAGAGCCAAGGCCACCTGCTGTTCCTTGACTTCAAAGGCAACCTTTCTTAACACTGGTGTCACCAGGGTAGTGTACCGAGTCCACTGCAATACCTACCTCGCTGACCCGAGACTGTCGTGGAACATCAAAGCAATTACATAAGTTGATTATATCAACAAGACGGCATACAGGGAAAAGGTAAGACAGCTCAAAGTCTGGTAAAAAGAAAACAATCATAAAATGACACGATTAGAGAGTTCAGACAAAGATGTCACCTTAACAATGACCTTAACACATGAACCCTGAACACCTCATCCTTAAGCTGAAAGTACCTTTCTTCCATAAGAGACTTAGGCTAGCCAGTGAAAATGTAACAGCTTCTTCAGGTGTGTCATAGAGAGTACCTGTGTTACCTGCTGGATCACTGTCTGGTATGTTAACTGCTCTGCTTTAGACAAAAGAGCTCTGCTGTGGGTAGTAGAAATAGCTCAGTTCATCACTGGAACCACACTTACAGCTAACAAGGATTGAACAGAAAGGCTAACAGCAACATTATCAGTCCATCTCTTGTTAGTTTCATCTGGAGGAAGCTTGAAGAATCCAAAACCACTAGACTTCCAAGTTGTTAGACTATCCAATAGCTCTGACAATCAACAAATGGACTGTCCACCCCCACCCAATGCAGAAATGCAACCCATACTCCTGACTCTGCTTGTTATTGTTCTACCTCAGCACAATCCTTGCCACATTACAGTCATTTTATGAGTACTAGACTCTGCGTTTACATCTTGCAATTCAAGTCTCTCTGACACTGCCTGCACTATACTTAACACCATTTTTTAAGCTTTTATATAGCACGCTGGGTACATATTGCTTTATATTTATTGCAAATTTCTTGTAATTACAGTTCACCATGTGGCCTTGGGAAATCACACATTATCATACTGTTATATAAATATTACTGTTTCAAAGGACATGCATTTTATTCTTTTTCTTGCACTTGGCTGATAATAAGTGATAAAAAAAAAACTTAACGACTTGAACGAGAGTTATTTTTGAATTTTATCATGAGAAACAATGAAGTGCCTCCCTAGACGTACAAAACCTGTAGATAAGTTTCACCAAAGCAGGAACAGACACACCACAATGCCACAATTACCTGTGTCCATGACAAATAGCATCATTAACATTTCAAAGAATAACGGTTTATTTAACAAAGCCTCAAGCCCATCTTGATTATTTAAAAGTGAGAGTTTGTGAGCTGTCAACATGAAAGCCATGTTTTGATTCAGAGAAGAAGGTGCTTGACCTTAATAAGTAGTAGATAATTTCATCTTCAGAGAAAAGCCCTAATTTATGGTGTTTTATTACATACAATCATAATAATATTAAAAGTGATGCTGTTCCACATGTTTGACCAACTTGGCATTTCAATTCACTTTTGTGGGAGGGTTAACCACTGTTGAAAAATACCTGTGTATGGTTAAAAATAGCACTAATACACCTCTGACATATGCTCCTCTTGTTTCCAGAACTAAACTGAGATAACAGGCTGTTTGACATGGAACATGTAGTTTTAAAACAGCTACAGACTTTGACTAGTTTACTCATCCACGATACACGAAAGTATTCCGTTGCAGTGATTATCATAAGGTTGAGTATGAAAATTACTCAATATGAAAGCATTTACACTTTTGTTTAAAAAAGGAAATAAAAGTTCATTGCACTACTGCAATAACTTTATGTAAAATAATTACAGAAAATGTTTGTTGTATGGCTTAAATGTCTGTTTATGGCTGAAAGCACCATATAAAGTAAACATATTATTATTTTCATGACACAGCTGGTCATGTGATCTCAACAAGGTGGTGCATATAAAGGCGCAACCTGCTCCATGATATTTCTTAAAGTGCTGTTCATTTCTTCAAGTGAAAATTTTTTCTACAACATTAGGCTACACAAGTAAAACTTTACATCAGGAGGGGGTAGGCAGATGCACCCTAAACAACTACTTTAATATCCAGGAAGTAATGTCAGCCAAGAGGGGGTTTCCATGACCCCTATCATTTATGAATTTGCTGTCAATATATTAATAGGCAATAACATGAATATTGACTTGAAGGTGCAACTACAAAGCAAACCTCATTATTTAGGCATATCAAGAACTATCATACACCGTCTAATACTGGATCGCACCAATGTCATGGCACTTACTTGATTTAACAACCTGCAACCTGGCATGCACTGTAACTTATTAGCCTACTTAAAATACACATAGGCAAAAACATTACCTCCAAAGCGCGTATCTCGTGTTGGGTCAGGTCGTTAGATGCGGCGCACTTGGTCCGAAGCCCCTTCAGACTAGAGATGGAGATCTCGATCAGGTTCTGGATGAGTTCGCACTGGTGAAGCGCGTCCATCCCTGCGTTACTGCCATCGCTCGCGTCCAAATGCTCCTCATCACTTGCGACCATGTTTCCAACTTTGCCAGAGACACTAGTATCCATTCCTCGGCATTGGCACGGCTTTAGGGGCATGGGCTCGGGCTCGGGCTCGGGCTCGAACTACAGCAAACGCTAGTCCAAAGACATGTTTGTAAACGCATGTAGAGTAAACGGAGGTGCCAGTCCTACTCCAAGCGAGTTATGTACTAGTTCAGAGCGCAAGCATACTCCTCAAACATACTCTTGGACTGGTTTGACAGCCAGACAGGACGCGTAGTCAGCTTGTTCCGCCTCAGACGTTGTATGTACATCCCGTGAAGCCCTCTGAGAACCGCTCGCATAGGTCTCACCCTCAGTCAGCTGTTTGAAGAAGCGTTTGATGCTTTGCAGTGTGGGAAATGAAGTTTTGTTTACACGCGCATCGGACCGTTTGAGGAACACTTACGTAATTGAGTTTTTGTTCAATTTTTGACTTAAAAGAAAAGTTGTTGATATGTTTCTATGTTTTTGCTATTGTGTATAGGGACCTTGAACTTGTTAAAAGCGCTTTATAAATAAAACATTATTATTATTAGACTATTATTATTATTATTATTAGTTGGGTAGAATAATTGAAATAAAATTGAATACACTTTATTGTCCCCAAGGGGAAATTTGTCCTTGACTCAAGTTGTGTTTACGCTGACAATATGTTGAATGCACAATCAATCAATCGATCGATCGATCAATCAATAAATAAAAACTAATTAAAAACAGTAAACCATAAAAATGTGGAAAAAGTTCCATGTAAAGACCAAAAAAAATTACATGTAGGCTATTATTCAGATTTTTTATTTCTTCTATTATTTTTTCTCAGAGACCATTTATGCTTGTAAGTTAATTAGTATAAGTATAATTTATATTGTACAGTACTGAATATGGTTAACTAGCTCTCTCACAGCAGGTTTTAGATAAATGTTTAATCAAACAAGGTGGAAAAGAGTGAATAACTTAATAAGAGTCCATAAATTAATATCTAGCAGCACTGCTAACATCAACTGATCCTGATAAATACAAAATCACTAAAATGATCCAATAATCTGGCCCCTGTAAATTAGAAATTAGCATGTTAGGGCACTCAAACCAAATACTATTTTTATTTGTCCCGCCCACCACCAAATTTTAACAAATCAAATTAACTGTTACATTTTGAGTATTGTACAATTTGCACCGAGTGGAATCTTTAGAAATATAATACTTCATTTTACCCGATGGCCCATTTTTTTTTTTTACCTGAAATCACCTTAAATTTGAAGCAACGTTAGATAAAATATTTTATTTTTCCAAAAACAAAAAAATGTATGTTCAATTTCAATATGTTCAAAATTTTTAAAAACCCTTTGGTGGAACTTGTCTTGTCATATAACTGCTCTTGTTGGGTCAGTAATACAGTTCCCATTATGTCATCAGAGGCAGAGAGCTGGAAAAACACGTCGAGTGTGTATGTGTGTGCGCATGCTTGACTGTTCACAGGTACTGCTCTCTGCCCACTCAGATGAGAAAAGACTGTTTTTACGCTTTCCATTGAGTTACGACTTGCTGGGTACCCTTGATGTTTAAGTAATGTTATGGTAATTCAATTATTATATATGATTGTGTAAATGAACACCACTTTGGCTGTTCAGAGTTCATGAAAGTGTTTGTGGCGAAGTGTTGCTTTATGTTACATATGCACTAATATAATGCATGTGCTACGACTGCAGATTAGGAAATGTAACAAAAAGACATGGAGAAATGTTACAGCACCAACTCGCTGTATCAGGCACACACTTTCCCATGGGAAAAATCTCTTCTCCTCTGCAGCGTGCCAAGAAGGAGACATCATTTCAAAATGAACAGTAAAGAGGGCTGAAGCCAAAGAAGAGCCACTGCAAATTGTCTTTCCCCATGAGGCAGTCAAGCCAAGACATTGTTAACCAACTGAATTAAAAGGAAAAACAGTAACCAGTTTTTGTTTTGGCTCACAACACTAAGAAAAATGTTTATGTCCACGTCAGCTGTATGACAGGAGCTTGAGGGTTCTGCGGCCGGTTGAAATGCTGCTTAGTCAGTCTAAATCTAAACCTATAGCCATCCACACCCGGTATCCTCAGAGTAATGACACTGCAGAACAGGGTAGGCTAAATCGAGAAATAATAGATGGAAAAACTTAAATAGACCCCCCCCCCCCATCCCAGGAAGGCATTGGCTGCGTCCTCTAGGTTTTCTTGCCATGCTGCGGACGCAAGCTTCAGACGAAGAAGTGAATGATGTGTGCTCCCGGCGCCTATTTATTCTATAGTCGCACCGGTAGTTACGTCATGGCTGTCGCCGGCCAACGAGTTGGTGTTTTTTCAATGTATGCTTCAGACACGGGTCACGACGAGGCGTTCCCCATAGCGACCCCTAGAGGACGCAGTGTCTCGTTCCCTACTCAGGGAACCATGGTTACATAAGTAACCTGAGATGTTTTTCTCTGTATCAGTCAACACATTCACACACATAAACTGCATAGGTAGAGGCAGGCAGTTGTTTAAATATGGTGCTGTATATTATTAGCAGGTTATATAAACTAGGCCTATAGCAGATTGCAAATTCTGTTATCAGGCTGTGAACTGATTACCATCTGTTTAATAACTTGGATAGCAGTGTGTTTAAGGAAATATGTTCACAAGACGTGAAGTGGGAAAAGTAAATAAGCATATCCTACTTTTAAACAGATAATGGCTTTTAAACATATTATTTTAAATAAACCAAGATAGAAAAGAAAAAAGACAAATGCTGTTGTTTAAAATCACTTTCACTTCCATTTTGATGGTAATCATGCATACGAATGAGTAAATAAAAACATAAGCATATAGTGCCTCCTGCTGGAAACATAGGGTAAGTTGTAGATTTATAATAAATAAAAACTCCCTCTCAATCACTTGTTATTGTCATTAAACTGGTATTTTGTTGATGTCACTGTTGAGGTTTCAGATCTGTGTTCCAGAAAGTTCGGTTTCACCTCCTTTCACATTTCACACGATCTAGGCTACGCAGAATGTGTCCTGTGTGGTATTGCAGCGTTAGATGCAGCATCAGGGCAGGAAGTGATTCACAATCAGAAAAGTATTTGGTTCACAGGAAGTTGGGACAATTGAAGGAAGGCCCAAAAAAAGTGCACAGCACTTATTTCTCAATTGCAAACAGCATAATTTCTACAGAAATCATCTTAAATGTATTAGGTTCTTTCTTTCCAATAATTATTTCTAAGATACACACACATTGTAATCCGTCACTGATTCCAAATTACATGACAAAAATTGTAGTTAGTAACCTAATCCATTACATTACACATTTTAGGTAATATAATCAGACTACTTTTAGATTACTTTGGATCTATCTTGTTTTTCACATTGATTTAAATAGGATAATCTTGTACCATATTGATATAAAAATACAAAGAGTACGAAAATATATTCCATTTGTTGTTATCAACAACGTGAAGTACATTAAGCATGATATTATGTCAAGGTTTCCCAAACTGGGTTTGTAAAGGAACTGCAGGCGGTTTATGAGTTTAAAATATTTGTTTTAAAATTTCAAGGGTATGTCAAATAAAAATATATTAGGTGAAAGAGGATCAGATGACAAAAAAATAAAAAAATAGTTGGTGAATTTGTGAATTTAAAATGTGTTTGAAAGACAAAAGTCTTCCAAAGTAATACTCAAATAAAAAGTTGTGTGTTCATCAGTAGTTGATGCAATGTTGAAACACAAAATGATTTTTGTAAATCCAGTGGTCAAATGCTGTGTAACCACCTGACTAGTGACTGATCTTTGTGTGAACGTCCACAAAACTGGAAGACTTTCAGAGTGTATACAACTGGTAGGCTGTTTTAGAAAGGAACTTTAAAATATGAAAAAGAGGAATTAAGGAGAATCAATCAATTATGAATTAATTATTGTTATTGTGTAAATAATATGCAATCATGTAATCCATACAAAGTAACTGTAGTCTGATCACGTGTATTTTAAAATGCAATACAAGATAATTACAAGTAATTTTTGGAATCTGATTGTGTAATCCAGATTATATGTAATCAGTTACTACCCAGCTCTGGGTACACACACACACACACACACACACACACACAGACACACACACACACAC